TTGAGGGGAGTGACAGTTGGGGGAAGGATGCGGGAAAACTCAAGTTGACAAAAATTCCCTAAAAATCTACCTAGATCTGGAAAAAAAAAACACCATAATCCCAATCCTTTAAGAAATAGACTATTCTATAACAATGCATCAGAGGGGAATGGGGGTGAAAATAAATTTAAAAGAAACAAAGGTGTAAATGAAGAAAGTTGAGGGGGTTGGCAGTTGGGGAAGGCGGGAAAACTCAAATTTGCAAATCCCGCCAAAAAAACTACTTGAATTTGGGGAAAAAAAAGACCATAATCTTGATATTTTAAGAAACAGGTTATTCCATAGCAATATATAAGAGGGGAATGGGAGGCGAAAAGATTCCTTTTCTCAAAAAAGAAATTAAGGATGGAGTGGAGAGATTTGAGGGGAGTGACGGTTGGGGAAGGCGGGAAAATTCAAATTTTTCAAACTGGGCGCGCGCTCCAACCGCCTTCCACGCCGACACCCCCCCCCCCCCCAATTTCACACACAAACCCCCCCCCAAAATAGGATAATGTCATTTTATTTTATTTTTCTTTTAAATTCACCACAATAACGGCATTGAAAAGAAGGGAAGTAGATCAAAATAAATTTTTTTACGCAAATAATATGCAAATCGGGGGGGAGTCGGCGTGACGTCACGGGAGCGTGACGTCTAGACGCCGGACGACCGATGGGGACGCGTGCCTCCTTTCCAAGGGGTAAAAATTAAAGGATACTTTATTAATAGGTACTGGTGCCTCAGTAGGGTTTGTTTCGCCGCCAGGGTAAATAAAACGAGGTGGGAAATCTTTTTAAAGGGGCGGCAGTTGGCGGGCCGCGGATCACGTGGGTTGGCGTTTGGCGTGAGGGGGCGTGGTCAGGCCGTGGTGGGCGGGAACTTGGTGTCGGTGGGGGCGCGCGTGTGGGAGGGGGCGGGGTCTGCGCCCGTGGCGTCCTGGCGTGAGGTCAGGGGGAGAGGTTTGTCGTTGCTAGGGCGGGGTTTGAGCGGTAAGGGGCGTGGTTCAACTTGGAAGCGACGATGTAATGCGGCGGGCGGGGTTTCGTGCTGCGGGGGCGGGGTTTAACCGTAGATGGGCGGGGTTCCACTAGACGTGGGCGGGTTCCGATCCGGACGTGGGCGTGGTGACGGTGGCGAGTCACGTGTGGTACGTCCGCGGCCGCTGGAGGGGGCGTGGATTAACTGGAGGGGGCGGGGTCTGAGTGGACCTTCGTTGTCAGGGGAACGCAGCGTGAGGGGGCGCGGTTTGCCGTCCGGGGGCGGGGTCCTTCCCATTCCGCCGCTTTCGATTGGAGCGCGCCGCCGCTGCGAGTGACGCGGTGCGCCACGCCCCCCGACATCCGGCCTCTATATAAAGGCCGACCCCGCCGGAAGCTCGCTCTCTTTGGGGCAGGCGGTCGGAGAAGGTGAAGGAAGTTGTTTGCGTCTCTCTGTCTGAAATGCGATAGCGTGCTTTTTTGTGAATTATTTGCGATGTGGGTTGTTTGGGCAGAAAGTAGCGTGTTATTAGCAATTGTAGGGTAGTAGTGCGTATTTGAAAGCGTTAACTCCCACCCCCCACGTGTGCCCTTTTGGGGCTGGTGTGGGGGCATATGGTCAGAGGCTGTTGCTACATCGTCCCTTTTCTTATAACCTGGGTTTCCCCCTGGGAGGGTTTGTGTTGGGGAAGGTAACCCAATTGGTTAGGGAGGAGGGGTAATCTCCATGTTTGTATTTTGGGGTGGGAGTATTATCAGAGGCTGTTAATATATTGCACCCCCCCTTATTATTTGGGAAGGTTTGTGTTGGAGGGGAAAGCAACCCAATGTCTCCACTTAGGGTTTGGGGGGGGTTAACCTCCATATTTGCATTTTGATGTTATCAGAGACTGTTAATACTATTTCCTGTTCTTATAATCTGGGAAGGTTTGTGTTGGCATAAAGCAACCCAATTTCCCCATTTTGGGGAGGGGGAAGGGTGTGGTAGCCTCCATGTGTGTATTTTGAGGTGGGAGTATTATCAGAGGCTGTTGCTACATCATACCTTTTCTTTTTATATAATCTGGGATTCAATTTGGGAAAGTTTGTGGTGGCAGTCAAGAACCCACTTGGTGAGAAGGTTAACCTCCATGTGTGCCCCTTGCAGGTGGGGATGTCATCAGAGGCTGTTCCTGCATTGTCCTCTTCAATAATCTGAGGTTTATTTTGAGAGGTTTGTAGTGGGGACAGTCAGTGCAATTGGACAATGGTTTGATCTCTGCATGCCCTTGATGTAATATTTCAGTCTGTTAACCAGCACCCACCTTTTATCAGTCATAGATTCATACACCATGAAAACAGCCTTTGCTGTAACCAGTCAGCGCTGAACGTAATCTCAAACTAAATTAGTCCTGCCCTGCTCCATGTCCCTCCAGACCTTTCCTATTCATGTACTTATCTGAATGTTGTACCCACATCCGCCACTTCCTTTGGAAGTTCATTCCACACACAAACCACCCTGTTTTTCTTAAAAAAAAAGCCCTCGGTTGTCTTAAAATCTCTCCCCTCCCTCCTTAAAAAATGTGCCCCCCCCCCCACCTGAGGGACAAGATACCTACCATTAATTCTATCTGTGCCCCTTGTGATTTTTATAAACCTCTATAAGGTCAGCCCTCAAACTCCTATGCTCCAGTCAAAAGAATCCCAGCTTCTCCTTATAACTCAAACCCTCCCTTCCTGGTGAATCTTTTCTGGACCCTCTCCAGCTTAATAGTATCCTTCCTGTTAGAGGGCGACCAGAGGCTGGTCACGGTAGTTCAGAGATAGCAAGAACTGCAGATGCTGGGGTCAGAGAGATGACGCAGTGTGGAGATGGAGGAACTGTTCTTTTAAAAGAAGGGTCCTGACCTGAAACGCCAACTTTCCTGCTCCTCCGATGCTGGCTGGCCCTCC